AGGTAATGGTAAAACATCTTCAGGCAGGTCCTTCAGGAGGCATCCAGAAGGTGTTGTTATTATAGGAGACGACAGCTCCATGCATGTTATTGCCCATGAAGCTCTTCCAGTGGGACAAGTTGTGGGGGCGGAAGACAGCGAAAAAGATGGTTCTGAGCCCCTATAGGTCTAGGCTAACATGTGTTTGTCTTTTAGTTTTTTGTTTTAAAAAGTAAAACCATTTTTAGAAGTAGGGAAAAGCTTATAAAACAAAAATATAAAGAAAGGAAATATTTTTGTACAGCTGTTCAATATGTTTGGGTTTTAAGCTAAGTGTTAATACAAGAGTCAAAAAGTCTACAGTAGCAGACAGTAATGACCTTCACATTCACTCACCACTCACTTGCTGAATCACCCAGAGCAGCTTCCAGTCCTGCAGGCTCCATTCACCTTAAGTGCCCAATGTAGGTGTGCCATTTTTTACAATTGTCTATGATATTCAGTACAGTGAAGTGCTGTACAGATTTGTAGCCTGGGACCAATAGGCTAGAGTATATAGCCTAGGTTTAGAGTGGGCTAGAGTATCTAGGTTCGTGTAAGTACACACTATGATGTTCATACAAGGATAAAATTGCCTAATGATGCATTTGTTAAAACAGATCCTCATTGTTAAGCAACACATGACTATATGTATGTTCCCGAATTAGTCTGTTCTCACACCACAAATAAAGATATATCTGACACGGGGTAATTTATAAAGGAAAGAGGTTTAATGGACTCACAGTTCCACATGACTGGGGGGCCTCACAGTCATGACGGAAGGCAAAGGGAAAGCAAGACATGCTTTACATGGTGGCAGGCAAGAGGGTGTGTGCAGGGAAATGTCCCTTTATAAAACCACCAGGTCTCCTGAGACTTACTATCCCGAGAACAGCATGGGAAAGAACACCCCCATGATTCAATTACCTCCCACCAGGTCCCTCCCACAACACATAGATATCATGGGAGCTACAATTCAAGATGAAATTTGGGTGTAGACATAGCCAAACCATGTCAGTACCCTTGTAAGATATAGAATATTTTGTCATGTGTGTGTGTGTGTGTGTGTGTATGCATGCATTTAAAGAATAGAATATTACTGTCCTCCAGTTTCCTGTTTCCTTTTCATTTCCCGTAGCGCTGTTTCTGTGGTCTGCATTACTGCACATAGGTATTTGTATCCGTCATGGTTCAGGCAGGAAAAAGATGGACATACACATTGCATAGTTGGAGAATTAGTGAAAGGACTATTAACAGAGGTGTGCACAGGGTTAGGAAAAGTACCGGATGACAGTGAGGTGCCCTGGAGCTAGGAACAGCCATGGGACCTAACCATGTCCTAGACTGGAAAGGCCAACTTCATTGAGAGAGCCACCTGGAAAGGTCACAGGAGCTGTGGGGATGCAGCCATCAGCTGCCCCCAGGGAAGGACCTTGCTCCCCGGCAGGGAGGGAGGGAGGGGTATAAAGACTCCAGCTTCCCTTTCCTGCCACCTTCTGGATCTCTTATCAGTGCTTCCCATTGCCCAAACCCAGTCAGAAGGCAAAGAGCTAACAAGCCCATTGATGCACGCCCTGCAGATGAGGCTCCAAGGACCAGACCTGGGCTGAGATAAACAGACAGCCCATCTAGAGGTGCAATGGAAGGCGTCCAGCACAATATTGCAGGACATAAGTCAACCATATTAGGATAAACGTTAATAGTGGGGAGTGGAGAGGGAGTGAGAACTTGGAATGTAAAAAGAGCATATGAAAACAAGAAGTTGTTTGCACGAATGTTCAGGATCATCATGTCTTAAACGGAGGAGTCTAATTAACTCAACTCTCAACTCTGAGGCAGAAAAGAGAAAGCAAATCTGACGTTTGTTAGAAAGGCAGCAACCCTACTAAAGAAGTCTTTGGAAAACATCCTTTTCCCCCATACTGTTTGTGTGGCAATCCAGACCTTCCCATCTGAGCTCCGGGCTGGAGAGAGAATTGAGTCCTTGTGTAAAAGAATAGGTTGACCACAGGAAGAGGCCCAGGGCGAGGTCTGTTAGATGAAAAACAAAAGCAGAAATTGTGTGGGCAGGAGAATGGGTCTCAGGAGCGTACTTAAAAATCTGTATTTATTAAGAAAGAGGAAGAGATAGACGTGTAGGCAATTAGGAAGGGATGATGCTTTTCTTGTAAAAAAAAGGTGTGTGTGTGTGTGTGTGTGTGTGTGTGTGTGTGTGTGCGCGCGCGCGCGCATGCGCGTGCGTGCACAAAGAAAAATGGCAGCAAAACGCCAAAATATGAATATGAATGGTGGTTGTCTTTGGATGTGGATTATGAGTTGTTTTTATTTATTTTATCTGCTTTCTTGCATTTTCTAATTTTTACAAAGTAAACCTGAGTTATTTATGCAGTAAGAAAGGATTTAAGCAAGAAAGGAGTAATATCTATGCAAAACACTAATAGACCGATGGCATCTGAAGGTTGTGCCACATTTCTTCCCTCTGCTCACCTTTTCTTCCTCCTCATCTCCCCTCCCTTTTCTGCCTCCAGGTTCTGTACATGACTTATTAGCTCAGAGCAAGCTGACTGACTGAGTCATTTGCAGTGGAAAGTCACAGACATGACTTGGGCTTGGCTGAAAACAAGTGGATCATCAAAATGATTAAATTATAAGCGCCACTTGGGAACATTCTCTACCTTCCACCAAGAGGCTGAATTGAATGGGGCTTAAAAAGTAATCCTTCCTTGAATTTGATACTTATGTCAGTTTCTCAGGGCTGCCATAACAAATTACCACAAACTGAGTGGCTTGAAACAACAAATATTTATTGTCTCAGAGTTCAGGAGTCAGAAATCAAGGTGCTGTCAGAATTTGCTTCTTCTGGAGGTGCTGAGGAATGATCTGTTTCACGCCATTCTCCCAGCTTCTGGTGGCTGTGGCCAATTCTCGGCATCCTTGGCTTGTAGCCGCATCTCTCTAACCCAGGGGTCCCCAACCTCCAGGCCACAGAGGGTCCACGGCCTGCTAGGAACCAGGTCGCACAGCAGGAGGTGAGTGACTGGTGAGTGAGCATTATCAGCTGAGCTCTGCCTCCTGTCAGATCAGCAGCAGTAGCAGATTCTCATAGGAGTTTGAATCCTATTGTGAACTACACATGTGAGGAATCTAGGTTGTGTGCTGTGTGCTTATTATGAGAATCAAATGCCTGATGATCTGTCACTGCCTCCCATTGTCCCCAGATGGGACCATCTAGTTGCAGAAAAGAAACAACCTCAGGGCTCCCACTGCTTCTACATTTGGTGAGTTGCATAATTATTTTAATATACATTATTTCTGGCCCATCGGAAAACCGTCTGCTATTTCTCTTCTTTCCTTTCCTTTCTTTTCCTTTCTTTTCTTTCTTTCTTCTTTCTTTCTTCCTTTCTTTCTTCCTTTCTTTCTTTCTTTCTTTCCTTCTTCTTTCTTTCTTTCTTTCTTTCTTTCTTTCTTTCTTTCTTTCTTTCTTTCTTCTTTCTTTCTTTCTTCTTTCTTTCTTTCTTTCTTTCTTTCTTTCTTTCTTTCTTTCTTTCTTTCTCTCTCTCTTTCCTTCCTTCTCTCTCTCTTTCTTTTCTTTGTCTCTCTCTCTCTCTCTCTCTATTTCTTTCTTCTTTCCTTCTTTCTTTCTTTTTGACACAATCTCACTCTATAGCCCAGTCCAGAGTACAGTGGCACAATCTTGGCTCACTGCAACCTCCACCTCCCAGATTCAAGTGATTCTGCTGCCTCAGCCTCTTGATTAGCTGGGATTGCAGGCGTCCACTACCACAACCAGCTAATTTTTCTATTTTTTTAGTAGAGACGAGGTTTCACCATGATGATCAGACTGGTCTCAAACTCCTGACCTCAAGTGATTGGCCCACCTTGGCCTCCCAAAGTGCTGAGATGTTCTATTTCTTCATGGTTCGATCTTGGTAGGTTGTATGCATGTCCAGGAATTTATCCATTTTTTCTAGGTTTTCAAATTTGTTGGTATACAGTTGTTTTTTTTTTTTAATTTTTAATATTTTTTTATTTATTTCTGGCCCATGGGAAAATTGTCTGCCGTGAAACTGGTCCTTGGTGCCAAAAAGGTTGGGCACTGCTGCCCTAACCCCTCTCCCTCTGTGCCCTATGGCCTTCTTCCCTGTTTGTCTCCAAACCTAACTCTCTGCATAAGGACACCAGTCATTGGATTTAGGGCCCATTCCAATGCCATATGACCTTATTTAACTTGATTATATTTTCAAAGGTCATGTTCCCAAATAAGGTCATATTTGCAGATAATGGGGAGTAGCGCTTTGACATCTCTTGTTGGGAGGGACATAATTCAACCCACAACAGTGCTATTTGCTAAAAACTTAGAATTTTTTAACAGAGAAAATACATACTTAGGAGTATTTATGAAATAGTCATGAATATTTTAAAACTTCTTATTGAAGTTTAACATAACACAAAGAAGTACAAACTCGTAAGTGTTCAGCTCCATGAACTGTGACACAGCCATGGAGCCGTCACAAAGTGACACAGCCATGTCATCAGCACCTGGACCAAGACTCCGAACATTACCTTTCCTGCAGAAGCCTTCCTCTGTCCCTCCACTGGTCCTCACCTTTAGCATCATAGGTGTGGTTTATCTACTATTGAACTTTATGCATACGGAGTAATACAGAATCCACTTTTTTTGTGGCTGGTTATTTTGCTCAACGTTATGTTTTTGAGACTCATCCATGTTGGGTGAGACTTTTTTTTTTTTTTTTTTTAGATCATGTTTATTCCTAAGCCCCAACCACACATGTTCTACCCCTCAAGATCCCTGAGACCCAGGCTGTGGGCTGGAAAACGAAGGCACAGTGTCAGAGGGTCCCTGAACACCCAAGAGTGCTGACCTTCAGGGACCCACCTGCACTGCCCACAGGCCTGGCACAGCAGGAGGCACTCCTGTTTCCGTCCCTTCTGTCTCTGGTCTTCAGAGCAGGGTTTCTCCTGAGTCCTCTGTCAGCCTTGACTCTGACTGTGAGGCAGATGGGAGCCAAAGCCCCAGTGAAGCTCCAGGAGGCCGGTGGCCCTCAGGGGAACAGATGCAAAACCAGGCACAGGCCTGCCTTCTGGCCAGCATCTACCTATCAGGCCCAGAATGTCTGTGCAGTTGGAGTGGGCTCCCCAGAAGGAAAAACAAGCTTAGTCTAGTGCTAGGGGACAGAGAACTGGGGGCTCAAGAATGCACCCCAAAACAGGCTGCCAGATTAAGGACCCAGGGGGCTGGCTGAAGAGAAGTCATTGTTTACTTTAAATTGCCATGCAGATTTCATTCTATGGCTGTTCCACCATTATTCTACTGTTGATGGATATTTGGGTTGTTTCTGTTTTGTTTTTTGTAACTACAAACAGTGCAACTGTTAATATTTTTGTACATGTCTTTTGATGGACATATTTACGTACCTCTGTTGAGTATATACCCAGGAGTAGAACTGTTGAATCACAGAGTAGGTGTATGCTCAGCTGTGGTAGATACTGCCAAGGAGTTTTTCAGAGTAGTTGTATTAATGTGTACATTCATCACCAGCGCACAGGTGTTCCAGTTGCTCTATATCATCAGCAATCCTTTGTAATGTCTTTTTTAGTATAACCATTCTAGTGGATGTGGATATCTTTGCAAACAAGGTGTTCAATTCATCATTGTTTATAGATGACAAACAAACTTGGAAATGTTTAATGACATGAAAAGACGCTTATAATATATTTAGTTAAAACATTTATAAAACCCTATAAACCCATTTTAAAAAAGCAACAGAAATCCATATATCTCTCTCTTCTTTACCTCCTATCTATATACATCCTTAGCATTCCTCTCTTGAAATGCTTCTCCCCAATTATTTTCATAGATGTGCTTTCCTATATTTCAGGTCTGGTATTTCATATACCTGTTGGCCATTTGTATGTCTTCTTTTGAGAAATGTCTTTTCAGATGTTTTACCCATTTTTAGATCTGATTTTTGGGGTTTTTGCCATTGAGTTGTTTGAACTCATTATATATTCTGATTGTTGATCCTTTGTCAGATGGGTGGTATGCAAATATCTTCTCCCATTCTGTAGGTCGTCTCCTCACTTTATTTTGCTGTGCAGAAGCTTTTAGCTTGATGCAATTCCACTTGTCTGTTTTTGCTTTGGTTGCCTGTGCTTTTGAGGTCTTGCACAAAAAATCCCAGACCAGGCCAGGCACAGTGGCTCGTGCCTGTAATCCCAGCACTTTGGGAGGCCGAGGTGGGTCAATCACTTGAGATCAGGAGTTCAAGATCAGCCTGGCCAACATGGTAAAACCCTGTCTCTTCTAAAAATACAAA